GAATATCACAGATATAATAGTAAAACTAGTATGAACATCTGAAAGATCTTAACTATGAAAGACAATACAATATAAAAAGGTTGCTATAGATCGCAAACAACTGAGGGTCATCAATATTTTTCTGTGTTTCCTTGAATTATTGTTCCGACATGAAATATAACAATGACTTCTTATCTCAATTTTCTCCAAACCAGTGGACATTGATGCGCTCGCAAAAAAAATAGATCATTTTGATTTCTTTAATCAACATATATTTTTATATAAAAACGCAAAGCATTATCAACCACATCATAAACTATGTTTCAAGACTATTACCATAGTGACAGTAATTATAAAAAATCATGAAATGAGTTACACAACTGGCAAAAAATATTTCATAATTTTATATAATATTTTCTTTTCTCTCGCCTGCCCCTCTCTTGCTGATTGATGTTGGAGATGAAAAACACAGGAAACATATGGATGGTCTTGAAACAAAGCCCTGTGTATCTACCAGGCGAAACATGTGTTTTGTACACACATCGGTCGAGTTTCAACACTGGACTGACTGACTGACTGAGTTTGGTTTTACGCCGCTTTTAGCAATATTCCAGCAACATCACGGCAGGGGACACCTAAATGGGCTTCACACATTAGTACCCATGTGGGGATTCGAACCCGGGTCTTCGGCGTGACGAGGCAACGCTTTAACCAGTAGGCCACCCCACCGCCCCCTCCCTGTAGATTGAAGTATATTATACATGTACATAAAACAAGACAAAACATGGAATTTCAGGAACAATATCATTTTTAATCTTGACTGAAAGCTAATTAAAGCTAACATTCCATCATGGGGAGAGGCAGATTGTCCCAAAACATACTTCAGTGTTAAAGGGTTAAATTCTATGGATGTCAACTTCTATGTTATAAGGAACATGGCATTTCAGAGTATACTCGAAGTAACAAGAAAATACTCGAAATTTCAAAGTTTTTTTCAGAAACTAGAAGTAACGAGAAAATACTCGAAAAAGTTTTTGACAGAAACTTGAAGTAACAAGAAAATACTTGAAGCAACGAGTACATACTCGAAATTTCAAGTTTTTGAAAGAAACTTAAAGTAACGAGAAAATACTCGAAGCAACGAGAAATTAATCGAAGCCACGAAAAAATAATTGAAGTAACGAGAAATACTCGAAGCAACGAGTAAATACTTGAAATTTCAAGTTATGAATGAAACTTAAAGCAACCAGTAAATACTCGAAGCAACGAGAAAGTAATCGAAACAATGGGTATCGTCGTTGAAAAGATAGTTCATGCTACAAAAGTGGCAGCATTAGCTTTTCGTATATTCTAACTCCTTCATCATGTGAATAAACGCTCTGAAGCAGTGAGCAGCTGACATCCTTAAAATGTTCCCCCATTATATGTATCACTTCTAAATGCCATTCCAAGATTTTTATTTCAGTGTTCGGCAGGGCTAACATGTATGCATAAAGAGCTTCTAGTACAATTAAGGAGACATTTTGGAGTAAATTCTAACACCTAATTATACAAGTGATGGATGAGGGTTATTAGAATCTGCAACAAAAATAGTTGTTTATCCGTAATATGTTGTCACTGTGCATGACACCAACTCCCAAATGCCACTCAATGAACTACATTTATAGAATTATCCTCTTACCCTAGTGGCTGAAATTTTTAAATTATTTGTTTTATTGGTAGTTTAATGCCGAACTCAGCAATATTCCAGCTATATGCACAGTCTGTAAATAATCAAGTCTGGACTAGACGATCCAGGGATTAACATCATGACAATCAATCCATGCAACTGGAATTTGATGACACGTGTCAACCAGTCTGACCACCCAATCCCATTAGTCGCCTCTTGTGAAGATAATTTGTAATTAGAATGTTCACAGGAATTCTAAACGATATGTCATCATCCATACTATATGCAAAAACACACATAAATATGCAACCTATATACAATTACTGGCATGAGGAAGGTATATATATATATATACGCACAAAATGTCCAAAATAGTACAGGTGTTCAGTCATAAATATTACATAGATAAATATTTATCTTACAGTTGGATTTGGAGTAACTGCCCTGTATCAAAGGGAAGCAACTCTAACCCTTGTCTGTGAGACTCCATATTTGTTTGGAGATGGTTATTTATTTATAATCATCCAAATTAATTTCCCAATGAATACATCATGAGTACAATCATGGGATTGAAGGGTCGCAAACCACAACCCACAAACAACGTCCAATGCTCTATAAACATCTTTTCTTTTCCAATCCAGCTCGGCTTTCATTCGTGATAAGACACAGGATGATATCCTCTCTATCATATAATTTCATTGTTGAATTCTGTAATCGAAAAACCTGTTCCAGAGACCATATACTGGTATATGGTCTCTGCCTATCACTAAACACTGCAAGATTTTCTGGAATGTGTGCATTAATATATATAAAGTCAGGCGAAGAGTGACAGCAGTCAAACACCCCGCTGAAACAAGTTACTCAAACAGTGGTATAACCACATGAAGGGAAAATAAGATACCTACACACTTTATTCTGATCTCCTTTTCACATAAACCGCAAATATTATGGATGACAACTTCTTCTTTATTGCATGTCACAACGTTTCTTGGCTATTCCTTGCCCCTCCATCAGGTGAATTGTAACAAACAAGCTGCATCAATGAGTATTGACGTTGAGCAGTAGTACTGCTTCATCTCAATGTAGATGTCTGATGTCTCAAGAACCTCCTTTTCACAGTAATCCATCGGACCACCTGCTGGAGTAACTGCCCTTTATGAAAGGGAAGCAACTCTAATCCTTGTCTGTGAGACTCCACATTTGTTTGGAGATGGTTATTTGCCTGTCATCAGCTGGTCATAACGTTATGAAGTGCAGTAATAGATGTACATGCAAAATCAAACAGGGTATCAATTTCAGCCAAATGGCCTACAAGCACAGCTATGGTAACTCATCCTACTCGACTGCATTGGTTTCCTCACTAACTTTGTATTGCAATATATACTGGCCACATAAAGAAACTGTGTACACAGAAAATATAAAGATAGACAGACAGTGTCCTTATACATAAATAAAGGTGTGAACATAGCAAGTATTGGAGACAATCATGCAGGTGCCCGTGACGTCATTGATGGTGGCCTATGGACTTGCACTGTGTTACTGCACATGCAGCCTGTGCAGCTGCACACAACATGTGAAACTCAGAAATTGCTGTCACTGTCGAAAGCTTGATCTTTGGTCATTCAAATGTTCACAAATTCACATGGGAATTCACATGCACATCATGCCAAAATTAACATCTGCTCAACGTCACGAAACCATTGGAATGGTTCGAGCAGGAATGAGTCAACAACAGGTGGCAGCACATTTCCAATGTCATCTTAACACGATATTTGCATTGGTCAGTTGTTATGGAAACAGTAATGACGTCACCGACCACCCACGTTTTGGGCGTCCCCGAGTAACGACGCCAAGACAGGACAGATGGATTCGGGTGAATAATCTCAGACACAGGTTCCAGACGGCAGTGACCACGTCCCAAACCATTCCCCAGGCCTTCAATGCTCATTTGGTAGCCTATATGCGTCGTCGATGCACTGCTGTGCTTCACGCGCATGATGGTCATACCCGTTATTGACTTTGTGACTTCGTCGTGTGACCCCCTACTCAAGTTTGAACTTCTGACGTCATGGTTACGGATATTGTTCATGTTCTTTTGACATGTTGTGGCCAGATACTTCAGCTTATAAAGTGTCTACATCATTTCATCTTTTCTGTGTTGTATTCCAATTCTGAAGGAATTTTCTGTGTGCACCGTTTCTTTATGTGGCTAGTATATCTCAAAAGTTGCCCAGTTTTGTAAAACGTCTCAGCAACATCCCAATCAGACACTGATTTCCAGGACTATGGTTATGATAATAAAGTCACAGTATTATTCCCTAAATCACAGCATATAACACCAGTTCTCAAAGCCTTGCATTGGCTCCCTGTCTCCTCTCGTATTGTCTACAAGATTTGCTGCATGTCTCATGACTGTCTCTTCAATGACAGTTATCCATCATATCTAAAGGACCTCATCTCCCTTTACTCTCCAGAACACTCATTCCGATCGACTCATTCCGAACGTCCAGTGATCACCAACTCAATCAGCTTGTATCCACCTCTGTGATATCTGATCGTGCTTTTTCAGTTTGCAGTCCCATGTTCTGGAACTCTCTACCTTCAGAATTAAGGACCACTATACCCAAGGAGGATTTCAAGTGTCTCCTCAAACCTTTCACTAGACTGTAAGGATTTTGTCTGCCCATTTGTTCCTTGACGTTTTCTGATTTTGTCAAAGATCCAGTCAGCGGTTGATGGATACTAGGCTATATAAATCCATTATTATTATTATGACAATTCTGCTTTTACCTTCTTATGAGTTAGTGAGTTTGGTTTTACGACGCTTTTAGCAATATTCCAGCAATATCACGGCGGGGGACACCAGAAATGGGCTTCACACATTGTACCCATGTGGGGATTCGACCCCGGGTCTTCGGCGTGACGAGAGAACGCTTTAACCACTAGGCTACCCCACCGCCCTTACCTTCTTATGATTCATGATAGTGAATTCTGACTGGATCGCAATCATGACCCTCACTCTTTTAACAGAGGATTCAAGGTCAGTCAAACATGATCCTTGCCCTATGAACAACAGTGTCAAGGCCATGGTCCTCGCCCTACCTACAGCAGTGTCAAGGTCAGTCAAACATGGCCCTCTTCCTATGTCCAACAGTGTCAAGGTCAGTCAAACATGGCCCTCTTCCTATGTCCAACAGTGTCAGTCAAACATGGTCTATGTCCAACAAGGTCAGTCAAACATGGCCCTCTTCCTATGTCCAACAGTGTCAAGGTCAGTCAAACATGGCCCTCTTCCTATGTCCAACAGTGTCAAGGTCAGTCAAACATGGCCCTCTTCCTATGTCCAACAGTGTCAAGGTCAGTCAGACATGGCCCTCTTCCTATGTCCAACAGTGTACCTACAACAGTGTCAAGGTCAGTCAGATTTGACATCACCATGTATCACTCCCAGTGTCAGCTTGCGACTCTCCCTGAAATAACAAAAAATGCCAACTTGTTATACTAAAGATAAAAAGGTAGTCTCTCCATGTACTAATACCTCATAAGTTTGTTATGTGACTCTGACAGGATATCAAGCATGAAAAATTGCAAAAGTATCTGCTCCTGTGTCAATTCTGTGAAATGAGCCTTCCACAGGAACAGATTTCAACAACCACTATGGCTTCATCATCAACACAGACAACTAAAATCAGCTATATACCAAGCGCTAAACAAAATAGATTTGGTTCTAGTGAGTGAGTTGGGTTTTACGCTGCTTTTAGCAATATTCTGGTGGGGGGACACCAGAAATGGGCTTCACACATTGTCACCATGTGGGGAATCGAACGCCGTGACAAGCAAACACTTTAACCACTAGGCTACCCCACTGCCCGATTTGGTTCTAATGTTAATTTGAAGAATAATGTCAGCTGGCTGTGCAGTTAATGACAAGCTGTATGGAAGTATTCCAGCTGATGAAGTAACTAGGGCCACACAAAATAAAAAGTGTACATAATACTGGAATACAATCAAACATGTTGTGTGGAGTGATTTAAAAAATTAACAGAGACTGGTTCTAGTTCTTTAATGAGCCATTTAACACTGAACTTACTTCAGTTCCTACTGACTCTGATGAATGTGTAACACATTATTTATTCACATTTCTGTGATGACTGCATGAATCATATTTTTACAGATGATATTCTGAACAGAACTGTAACATGTTTGTTTGTTCTTTGACGCCGCACTCAGCAACATTCCAGCTTTAGGGTGGCAGTCTGTACATAATCACATTTAAACCAGACAATCCTGTGATCAACATCATGAGCATTGATTTGTGCAGCTGGGGTAAGATGACATGTGTCAACCAAGCCAGCGAGCCTGACCACCCAGTCTCCTAAGACAAGCATGGGTTACTGAATACTGATTCTAACCGTGATCTTCACAGGTACGTGAGTGAGTGAGTTTAGTTTTATGCCGCACTCCGCAATATCCCAGCTATATGGTGACAGGTACGTACAACTATAACAAATGAAGATGTTACTGAAGCACAATTTTACATATTCATAGATCATTGTGTACAAAATCGTAACTTAGGCCAGACCAAATTAATGTCTTGTTTTACGGATCCGCCGGTTGTATTTTTACAAGAATAAGAAAAAAAATAATAATAAATTTTCCCCGCTCAAAAATTACATCCTAATGTAAAGATATACCGTGAGCGAGACTTTGACTATGCAAGGCAGTTTGTTGGACACTAAAACACCGGTATCTGTTCTCAGAGACTTTAAACAGAACTTTTAACAATATTTGTGATAAAAATCAGTGCTTCAAGCACCTCAGCGAATGTGAACTTGAAAAACAATGCCCTTGAAAACTCATGTGGGTTTTGGCTTTGACTGGGAATTTTTTTCCCTCCTGCCTTTAGGTTTTCTAAGGACAGAAATCCATAAAACAATAATAAAAATTGGCCTGGCCTTACTTGATAAAAAAATATAAATACAAAATACAGCCCAGCAATCTGACATTACAAGTCTGACAAATATTGATGCAACACACACAAATGCCTGGAAAGGTTTGTGAAATGGTGAGATGTTACAGTAGGCCAAAAGATCTAACTTAGACGACACTGCAGCAGCAGAACACACCTGGGTGGATGACTCAGCAAGATTCTGGTAGCAGCCCCGTTTGTGTCTGATCAGGTCGCCCCACAGGAGGGGCTGTTTACACTTGACACAGAAACCCTCGATTGGGATCACCTGACCTGGGTCATACAGGAAGCGTTGTGCCAGACACAGGATGTGGGCCTCCATCTGACAGTGGGGATGGTAGCAGGATACTGTTGTGTCACTAGGCTACAAACAAGTGCAATATGATTAAAATATAATCTGATTAAAATATAATAAAAAATAATAAAATTGTCATTATTTGTTAAAGAATCTAGCTGTATTATTCGTCAGTGTGTGCATGTGTGGTGAGGTGAGTGAGTGAGCAAGTGCGTGCGGCGTCGCGTCGCGTCGCGCGCGTCTTGTGAGCAGTGACCAAAATAGCGCTGAATTTGTGAGGAAAATATTGAAACTGCACACATGAAATATTTTCAGTGACCAGGCAGCACGCCTAAAATTATACAAATGATACTTACCATGATTCATTTAATGAAAATGCAATTCAAAATCCAAAATAAAAAGACATGCACATGGTATCAGGGTGGAAATAACCCATTGCCCTTTTTTTCTGTCGGGCAAGCAAATTTGTATATCACACTGTACGGTGTCCAGTTGACTTTCCAATGTTAATTATGTTGTTTATTTTAAAAATCAGCAGGAAAACGGTCAATATAGTGGAAACATTATCAGGGCAAGTGACATTACATGTGCCACTGTACCGGAGTACACTAGCAATTTTAAAGTTATTTCCACCCCTGGGTATTCCTCAAAGTCACCTAAGAAATATGATTTGTGGCTACATATTACGCAAAGTTTGTGGAAACTTTGGTTGTGCACATGGCAGGGATGGTAAACAAGATCACTTTGTAACTGGATCAAGGCCATTTCAAGCTCAAGTGGACAGTGATGAACATTGGGTGGCTCTTGGTGCTCATAATTATTGTAACATTTTAACCTTAACTGGTTCACATGGGGCGATGTGTTAAGCCCATTTCTGGTGTTACCCCGCCGTGATATTGCTGGAATATTGCTAAAAGCGGCGTAAAACCAAACTCAGTCAGTCAGTCAGTTAACTGGTTCATCAAAAGTATGGGCACACATATTTTTGTAATGGCACATCTAAATTATCTGTCTGGTGCCCTATAACACCCTTTGCAAAAATTGCATTTTTATTCCTGGTGTGTTTAACGCTGCACTCAGCAATATTCCAACGTGACAGTGACCAGTGAATAGTCAAGTGACCAAGTCTGGTCACTGGTTTTATCAACTGATGGTGGTTATGAGATACCTATTGTCTAATTTCTGCCTTTGATGGGCGGTGGGGTAGCCTAGTGGTTAAAAAGCGTTGCCTAGTGGTTACATGCGTTGAAGCCCATTTCTGGTGTCATCAGCTGGAATATTGCTAAAAGCGGCGAAAACCGATGCCTTTGATAAAGTATTTTGGGGGTTAAGAGATTTTACTGCCTCTTCCCACATTTTGTAAGCAAATGAGATAAATATCATGAGTGACCAACTCAGCAATATTCCAGCTGTAAATAGTTGAGTTTGGAACAAACAATCCAGTGATTGACAATATGAGCATCAATCTACACAATTGGGAAACTATGGCATGCATAGACAGACATCCAATCAAATTTTAATCTCATGAGTTCAAGAAGTGATGGGAGAATTTGATGAGGAATTCAAGTTTAATGTAAACTTCTGCCTGGTGTGGTAGAGACTGTTGCTATGGTGTTGATTCATGGTACAGACTTGTGAAGATCAGGGTTAGAATTAGGCAGGCTCGCTGACTTGGTAGACACATGTCATCGTATCCCAACTGCATAAACTGATGCTCATGCTGTTAATCACTGGACTGTCTGGTCCAGAACTCGATTATTTACAGACCGTCGCCATATAGCTAATGAATTGCTGAGTGCAGCATTAAACAACAAACAAACAGACCCATGGTAGAAAGACAATATAGATATACCTTTGATAAACAAGGACATTTCGCTATATGGCGGCGGTCTGTAAATAATTCAGTCTGGTCCAGACTCGATTATTTACAGACCGCCGCCATATAGCTAGAATATTGCTGAGTGCGGCGTAAAACTAAACTCACTCACTCACTCTCACCTTCAGTCGCTTGTAACACACAGGACAGACCCTGTGTCTCACGTTGAGACTCGAGATCTCACTCTCATTATCCTTTTCCTCTGTGCTATCCTTCTGTGTCTTCCCCTTCCCTGCCTTCCCGATCTTCTTCCTCTTCACAGGGCCATACACGATCGGCATGTGTGAAGGCGGGGCACTCGCAGGCGGAAAGTCCAGACAGTAGTCTTGCTTCAGCCAGCGGATCGTAAGTGGAAGCCGATTCCATGGACCTGTTCGGAGCATTTCGGAAACAATTCGGAATCGGAACTGATGTGCTGTCTCTTTGCGAGTTTTCTTTGGCAGATGCCGGAGACGCCTTGATTTGTCTGGGTGCTGCCACGCCCACTCAAACTGAAATAGATATGAGCGATTTTAAAATGTCAAACTAGTGGTTGATAGAGTGAACACTATTTTTACGAAGGGGGACCACTTGCTGGTAGAACAATCAGGTAATCAGCGTGTGAAGTGAAGTACAACTCGCACACCTGGCTGTTCTATCATCAAGTGGTCTTCCATCGTCAAAAATAGCAGTAAGTGACAACAAAATAATGATCGTTTGTAAACAACGTTTTTATTCGGATGTCCAAAATTATGACACAGATCATCACAGTTGATCTGTCGATTTCATGTGACTGTGCCAAATTTGGTTTTGTTGCAGTTATTAGATTTTGTGTTAGCAAGTCATCAGGTCTAAAATGAAATCAAACGGACTGTACCATATTACAATACCATGTCTTGCCAGTATACAACTCTACTAAGAGATACACAATGCCCTACCCGTAATGCTGAGATGTCATTTGGGAAGCCATGGATAATCAAGATCATCTCCCTGAAAAAAGAAAATAAAACATGTATTTTTTTAGATTAAAAATACCATTATTTCATACTTATCCTGATTCATACTAATTGCCATAACTCGTATAGTTTTGATATGATGGCATGGATCAAAATTAAAAAAAAACAACTTTCCTCAACCATACTGTTTGGTAAAATTGAAAGACTGACAAGTCACAGACTTGATCACATCAGGGCTGTTGTGCAATTATCGGGGCTGTTGTGAATGTTTATGTTGTTTTGTATTTTTTTATTGTTTGGGTAAAGACCTGTAGCCTCATTGAGTTCATGTTTTAATTGTTTACTTGATCGGGGTTTCAAGCTTCTTGTCAGTTATTGAAAGAGACTGAAACTACATTGTTTGTATTTCATATAAACTATACATTCATTTCAGAAATGACTTCAAATGAGACAATTCAAGGAGAAAAAAACATTGCAATAGTTGGTCGCAACAGACTATCGATATCCCAATGATGTTGCAATAGACTATCGATATCACAATGATGTTGCAATAGACTATCGATATCACAATAATGTTGCAATAGACTATCGATATCACAATAATGTTGCAACAGACTATCGATATCACAATAATGTTGCAATAGACTATCGATATCACAATAATGTTGCAATAGACTATCGCTATGGCAAATAGTTGTTTCCTCCTCAATAGTCACCCCTAATGTTTATACCGTTCTTGGAGAACATAACAGAGACAGTTCTCACTATATCCCACTCTTTTCACTGATCAAGAATTGCATTTGTCCTGCTTTGGATGAAAAACAACTCTTCTAACTGAAAACCCTTTAGAGAATGAAGGAAATATTTTTCACAAAAGATACAAGTTAAGGATAAGCCTACCTTTGTTTAGTATATGATACAGTTTACCTTTAATGAAGAGAACATATTTTTACCTGCTAGAGGTAGAAGTAAATAACATATCCTGTATGGACAGTAGTGTTGGGAATTGGTTAAAATCTCATAATTGGCGATTGGTTCATTTATACGACCAATCAGACATTGAAAATATTTGGTTTGCATTATTTATCAAATTTTCCTGTTATGTTTGATTAATGCACAAAATTTTTAATTTAAGTTTTAAAAATATAAACAAAACATGTAGTTCTTTTGGGTTTTTTGGCACATTGCACAAGATACATTTGCAAATTTGCAAATTTCACATCTTTAAGGGATGACTAGTATGTTAGGAACATATATTTCCTTGAGTCTTTAAGATTCAGTCGTGATTTCGAATGAGCCTGTAGAGCTTATGAAATTAACAGACAAAACCAAGATTGTGATAAATATTGTTAATGCCAACAAGTGTTAAAAAATAATGTTCGATTATGAGAAAACATAGTCATTGCAACCAATCTTCGATTATTTGTATTAATCGGACCACCACTAATGGATAGAAACCAGCTATCATTTTCCATTCTTCGAAAACTGGTTCCACTAGGCTAAGGGAGGTAACTCCTACAACCTCCCAACCGATGAGTGTTCAGTGAGCTGGCATTTGGACACTGACTGATGCAGACAGAAAATAACAGATTACAAGTCCTTGTGTTTTGGAAAATAAAATATTTTGTCAATACTCAAAATTCTCTTTTGATTATTGCACAGATATACTTCGAATTTACCCTTGGCCAGCAAACATTATAGTGAATATTTCTTTAAACTATTTTTTTAGAATAACTAGTGTTATTCTAAAACTTCAAACAGGTGGAACTAAACTGCCAGTAACAATTGGGTTGTATCAACTGAAATCTTGACATTTTCATGATAAAAAACACATAGCAAGAAATCCCCTAAAAAATAGAGATAATGTGGAAATTTTTATAACAAGCTCATAACACAATTTTGTTGTATAATGAAAATTATTTGCGTCAAATTACACTAATTAATCAACAAAGGTATTGAAGCTCATCTCTCTTCAGCTTTTAGCTTAAGCCTGACTACCCTACACATGAATCAAAAAGATGTTATTGTTATTTTTTTACGTTATCTTGATGCCTTTTCCAAAGAATTTGTATGCTGTTCACATTTTCCTGACATGTATGAATAACAAACGTCTTTTAAAAAACAACTTAAAATATGCACTAATACGTTAACTTAAGTCACTGATGAAAGTTCATGCCATAAGCTCACTTTGACGATCAACCTGAGCTAAAACACAAAACAAGTCAATGGCCATGAGTTCAGGTCGCCCGAGCAGCCAAAACAGAATGTATCAGAGTGGTGCCAGTGAAATATAACTACTACTGAATCCCCGGATAAAATACAGATCTAGATTGCTGACAGCTGTTCAGCGGCAATGGTTGATTTCTTTCCATTCATGCAGTTATGCACACAGGAGAAGATTAGTGAGGCCCAAAATCTTTACACATAGAGAGGTGCCAAATATTATTTACATTTTTACTTTGTCATGATTAAAAGTATTTATTCAGCTTAATCAAGCATAGTGATTTTGTTGTGTATTTGCTTTATAAATCAAGCAATAACTCGATTATAAGTAGTTTTTTGTTAAAAAAACCTTCTTTCAATATATTGCGATACATATTGCTTTCGCATCACAATATATCACAATATGAAAATTTCCCACAATATGAAAATTTCCTGCAATACCCACCCCTAGTGCCAAACATTGTGAATATGGATTAAAAGACCCCTGAGACAGTATTTTAAGCAGAAATATTTCAAAATACCAAGTATGCTTGATCAAAGGGAATAAAAATATGTTTAACACCTAAAGGACAGTACCAATACCAACATGAATGATGATTGGACAGTAAATACTCAGTGGTTAAATATTATCCAGGACGCTACCACATCAGTTGCTGGGGACCAATATAGTCTGTCATGCAGACCCTGAAACAAATATACCCAATGCAGCCCTTGCAAGTCTAGAAGATGTGGCAATTCTTGATTACCACATGAAGTCCTTGAAAGGCATTTACAAGTTGGACAAACATACATGACACATTTTATGGATAACAGCATCTTTTGGTTGTTTATACAATGTTTCAGAGCTAATTCTTGTTCCTTCATCAGGTGAATCCAAACACATTAAATTCAAGGAACAAACTTAGAACATATAGAAAATTTAAATCTGAAATCAACTTTGAACCATACCTTCAACACTGCAAGATAATAAAACACCGTATCCACTTCACAAAACTAAGACTGAGTGATCACAGACTAAAAATTGAACTGGGTAGGAGAACAAGACCACCTACACCTTTGGAGGACCGTCTGTGTGATAAATGCTCTGTCCTTGAAGGTGAACAACACCATTTCATGTGTTGCACTAAATATTCAGATGCAAGAAAGTCCTTATTTAACTCCCTTTCCTCTAAAATTAATAACTTTCTCAGACTTACTACCACTGAAAAATTTAACCTCCTTTTTAGAAATAATGATCCAAATAGTATAGAAATTATTTGCTACCACATGTACAACTTTAAACAAATATAGAAGATCTGATTGTCCTAGGCCATTATTATAATTATTATACACATTTGTATTATTATATGTTTTGTTGCTCATCATATATATGTGATTCATTATATATCTTGTTTATGTAGTTTATAGAATATTGTCACTGTTTTTGTATGGAACGTTTGCACAATAAATATTTCATTTGATTTGATTGATTTGATTTGTATTAGGAATAAAAAGTTTTTGTTCTCCATAAAACATGCCAAGTATTCATAGATTACCACAGTTTCAGGAATAGTAAAATAAGATTAGATAAGATAAGATATTTATTGCATAGCATTCCATGAAGAAACAGTGGCAATATTCTATAAGCTACAAATATTTACACAGTAGGTACAAGAAATATAGATACATTTCACACATAAATGATGTACATTATAACAATTTTTAGAAATCATGTGGTATAATGACATGGAAATAATATATGAGGAGACTATGGTAAGATATAGAATTCATTTAAAGTTGTAAAGATGGTGACATATTTTGGAAATTAATTCAGGACTTCTGTTCGTGAAAATTATTAGGAATTGATCTTTTTTTGAGAGTGTAGTAAATTCTTGGTCATAATAAAGCATTGTGTGTATAAGTGATTCCCTTTCTTCGTTATACTTGGTACATGATATTATATGGTGTTGCTCATCGTCTAAGACACTGCACATTTCACAGAGACGTTGTTCTAATGGGGTTGCAGGTTTTGTATATCTTCCAGTTTCAATTTTGTGTTTATTATTACTTAAACATAGTTTTGAAAAATGTGATCGATGAGCTTTGTTTTTAAAATGAAATAGGTAATTTTTGAGTTTTATAGATGACTTGACCAATCTGTATGTTATTAATTTGTTATTTGAAGTAGTGTCTGGGCTCCTTTTTATCATATTTTTTTACATAATTTAGAAACCACTTATTTCTTTAAAATGTTCATTTCAGGGGACTAGACATTAGTCATGGGAACAATTCCATCTCAGGATTTACACAGTGCCATAGTTCATTAAGCCAGAATCTAATACATCCGGCATCAGCTATGAACTTTAACCTCCGACCCCCCTCCCACCCCCAGATTGACAGATGTCTGAGAGTAAATACACAGTTTGACCAAAGTCCAGGGGGGTCAAACTCCAGCACATGGGGCAGGAGTAGATCTGTAAGTCAGATTAACATGTGCCTCAGACAAGAGGTAATAGCCCTGGGCTTACTCCTGGCAGAGAATAGGCAGGGGGCATTAATTACATGGAGGTACACCCACATGACTGGAAGTAGATTACAACTGTCAGAGTTACAGTCACTGACCACTTAATGATCCTCCGTTACAGAGATCCCAAACATTGGTGACTGATGTGTTACTCAAGACCTTTCAGGACTATAACCATCAAAGGGTGCTGTGGACTTAATACAGTACCCATGTGTTTAGAGTCTGTGAAGGACTTAGGCTTAAAACAACATAGTTTATGGTTGATCCTCTTATGGTTTAATCCTAAATTCTTGACCACAACCTTGGAATTATGCTGGCTTCTGAACAAAGGGCCCCTGGAAGGCAAAATGATGGAAATCGATAATTTTGTTTCTTTTCTAAAAGTTTGGGGTGTTTTATTAATGTATTTTGATATTGTCAGTAACATTGGACAATACAACATCCTCCTTATATATAATCAGGGATAATCTACAACAGGGATAGGTCACTCGCTTGCTTTCTTCACCATTTGTTCTAATTAGTGTGTGCCTCATCATGCTCCAACGCACACAGCAACTCGGCCTGCGTTTAACAGTACTTCAGCCAGTTTCTTGTATCAGTCAAAATTTTACAATGAATGAATGAATGAAGAGCAAAGAATTATATGTGAATGAATGAAAGAATAAATGATACACCACAGCCATCCCTCCCCAAACATGTTAAAGAACGCAAAACTATCGCTAGAACACATTTGTTAACATCAACTGTCCTTTTTAAAAAAAATCTACTTTGAGACATTTTTTTACTTTAGTAATTAATTCAGATATCTAATTGCATGTGTGGAATGGCATGGACATTGACAGAATGTTAACTGACACTGTCACAGACCCCTCAAAAACAGAAAGTTTAGAACTATCACAAAGCGTTGTAAACACCCGTCCAGTTTTGTCAAATACTAAGATCAACAAGAAAGAAAGAAGTTTTAGAACTATAACACTCAAGCATCACAAGCAACAATGGTGGATCAGAAAAGATCGGCAATATGTCATATTTTTCAAACACCTCAAATACCCCCTAACAATTTTTTAGAAATTATAAAACTATCACTATTACTTGCAAACACCTTTCATCTGATGGTATATTCCCCTCATAAAAATTAAAAGTGTATGTGAAAGATGTTTTAGAACAATAACTAGAAACACTCAAACAACGCCCTGTAGTATTTCAATGCCAGATCGGCGATATGTCATATTTTTCACACCTCAAATACACCCTAACAATTGTTTTTTAGTTATAAAACTATCACTATTACTTGCAAACACCTTTCAACTAAAGGTATAATTTCCTTCTAAAAATTAAACGAATATGTGAAGGAAGTTTTTAGCGATAGAATTTAGTCTTTCTTTGCTGTGTACCGAGAATTGAAGCCAGTGAGCTACAACATGCCGACTTGAAACTTTACTACAAATCTACTGTACTAATACAGACACTAATAACAATTATTTGACTTAAAATGAAGTGACAGAATAGGTAACTTATCTTCTACATGTAGGTTTTCAGTTGTCACAACACTCAGCGAATGTAATCAGCTGTTGAAAATAAACCGGGCTCAATCATAAAAACTACGCTGCTGCCATATTGGCTACACTGGTCACGTGACGAGCCGAGGCGAATGCTAAAGGGGCTTTTTGAGGAGTGACCACTCTCCGTTATATAGTCTCCCTGATATATAATATAACCCTTTTAACAGTGAGTGAGAATGGTTTTACAACGCTTCCAGCAATATCACGGTGGGGGGACACCAGAAATGGGCTTCACACACTGTACCCATGTGGGGAATCAAACAAGCGAACACTTTAACCACTAGGCTACCCTACTGCCCCTTTTAACAGTGAAATAAAGGAGGTATTATAATAAGAATATAAACACACAAACATACAATAATTATATTCCTTTAATTTATCAGTCTGGTCATAAAAAGGACCTGCCATGGAATTGCCATGAAAAGGCCTTAAAATTTGACAAAATGCCTAAAAGTAACTGAAAATTCCCAAATTATAATAAAATAATCCCCAAATACGTTTTATATACATCAACATATTGTAATTGGGGACATTTTTTGTCTTGTATACACATACTGACCAACCAATCATTTCATATGCAAAAACTACAAATACATCCTTGTCGGTACATAGTTTTATTTGTAGATGCCACGACGCTAACAAAAAGGATGCTTAACATATCAACAACTATATCACAGTTGGTCATGCAGGGTATTACGCGATGCAAACGTGTGCGTCCAGTATGTAGGGAATGGATGCAGTATACCAAAATTATTGCTTCTGGAGAGATGCACCAAAATACCGAGAGCATACCTACAACGCATCAAGAGTAGTTGTCTGGGTCTGTTATTTCATGACCTGTGAAGATCCGGGCTAGAATATTGACCTTCAGTAACCCATGCTTGTCATAAGAGGCGACTAATGGGATCAGGTGGTGAGGCTCGCTGACTTGGTTGACACATGTCATCGGTTCCCAATTGCACAGATCGATGCTCATGCTGTTTATCACTGGATTGTCTGGTCCAGACTTGATTATTTACAGACCGCCGCCATATAGCTGGAATAGTGCTGAGTGTGGCGTAAAACTAAACTCACTCACTCACTGTTATTTCACCCATCAGTTATGACCACTGTCCACATGACCACTGATGATCAACGACCGCCCTTCGTGGTGTAGTAGTTAGAGCATCTGCCCGGAGAGCGGAAGGTCGCGGGGTTGATCCCCGCCCACGTCATACCAAAAGATGTTAAAATATGGTACTTGTTGGTCCCTGCCTGGCGCTCGGCATTAATGGGTACAACAAAGACTGGTCGACTCGGAGTCAGTATAATGTGTCTGAGTGGGGCATTCATGCTTCACTGCAGCATGGTATCTCAGTGGGCTAGCACTATAAAAGCAGCTTACGTCTGGGCTAGTACACGCAGCCACACATACACATACACATGCATGCACGTCTTCATATAAGCGAATTATTCTCAAGCACGACGTAAAACCTAATTTCACCTCACCTCACTGATCAGCAAGGACCCATAAAGGTCCAGGTGAAACCCTTGTCATGTCTCAACAACTATATCATAGTTGGTCATGTTTGAAATATGTGCCGGCCTATTGGCCCGTGGCAGGTAATTGTCATGTTGGGCCCATACTTTCAAACTGTATGGGTTGTTTTTTGGTCTGCAGTAAATCTATGCAACAATTTATTTGTCACAAAAACTGGAGTTCCTATGATGACGGCCTGAAGAGTTTACTCAAGGCCTGTATGTCCTAATGACTGTGGATCATGATGGCAATGTGGTGAAAAACAGCAGTTTTTCTTTCCAAAATTCGTAATTTTTCAATTTAGAATATACATTAAGGTACCCTATGAAACTGAGAGAAAAACGAACGTTTTATTTTCATTTTCTCATGCAATTATTAAGGACAAAGTGATGACATATTTGAGTGAAGTCATAATATACCATTATTTATCTTATTTCTTCACACGTTTGTAATGTTAGCACCGAGTGAGAGAGAGAAAGAGAGAGAGAAGGGGAGAGGGGAGAGGGAGAGAAGGAGCGAGGGAAAGAGTGAGTGAGTGAGATAGTAAGCGATTTACACCGCTTTTAGCAATATTCCAGCAATACCACTGGAATCAGACACCACAAATGGGCTTCACACATTGTACCCAAGTGGGGAGTCAAACCTGCGCCTTCGGGGTGATGAGTGAATGCTTTAACCACTAGACTACCCCTTGATTTACTGAAATATACCCACCAGGGTCCTTTCCCATCTGTGCGCCACGCTCCTCCTGCCTGTGCTCCTGTGTTGTGTTGCTTGATCCTCCTGTTGGGGTCCACAGTGTACCCAATATAGGTCCTCCCCTTGTACCGAGGGTTCAAGTTGTAGAGGAGGTACACGCCATAGAAGTCCTCGATCTCATGAACCATGTTGATGGTGCTGGCTCTTATGTCTCAGTTGGTTAATCTTTTGTCAGTGCTGGCATCTCAACTGCTCACTGCAGAGATTTACCTGGGAGTCCGAACTAAGATCCCTTGAAAGAAAACAGGGAAAAAATATAACTTCAGTGGCATTTAGAGTGAGTGAGTGAGCTTGGTTCACATAACTGGGGTACGTATCTGTAGTACCTGTGTCGACAACAACCCCTTCAGCACCAGTTTCATTATTTTTGCGAGTTCCCACGCAATGACGTTTATGAAATGCATTAACCGAGTCTATTCTTAGGCTACCATAAATTATCATGGTTTTGACCGCACACACACTCAACTGTCCGCTAAACAAATATACCGTGGTCCAAGATACAAGTACAATCTCTTTCTTTCATACAATCAATCAAACGTGCCGCCATTTTGAACAATCACGTGATCCCGTACTACAAAGGTCGAAGTTCAGAGTTCACACCACGCCACATGTCCCTTATCGTTCGGTCTTTTGAGGTTTCATTCACTCAGCCAGTGTGTGCCAGTCAACGCGGACAGACAAACGATCGTACCGTTTCCATCCCTGAAAAGAATTTTCAAAAATGGCTTTTGCTGCTGGAAAATGGAACCTTGTCGACACCGACAATTTTGACGCCTACATGCAAGCAGTGGGTAGGTACCATTCCTGGAAACGTCCATACTCGTCTCATTTATTATTCTGGAGATGCACAGCGATCAGAGTTCTTTGGATCACGCGATTCCTGTTGTTTGTGAACGATTTTAGCTATTTGTGCTCACAGTCCTACAGAAAACATCGACACTCCTATTTGAGAAGCGTGTCGCAAACCAGTTCTTAGTGATAGAGCTTTGTATAAAACACGGCTATGCAGTAAGTGTCATATCGTACGATCGTGGCAGTATAATCGATTTCTTAAGTCATAACAGTAGTACATTGTGTTAATTGATGCAGCGCTCGTTACGATGTCTTGGTAACCGTTATTGTTCACTGAATGAGTTGAAGCTGTTTTCATAACACGAACGTTTTAGCAGGCTGGTCGTTTTAAATAGCGAAATAAATATTTTGCAACATTAGTAATAAATTATATATCGAGTTAAATGTGATGAGAATAATTTCTTCATTACTGATAATATATGCAAACTGTTTTTAAAATATTTTTTATGAAAATTGGTATGTTTTTATACTAAAACATTTTGAATGAAAAAATATAAAAAATCATTCTTTTAAAACATTTGAAGCGAAATTAATGATTATAAAAACAGGTTGTTTTAGCTACATGCAAAAAATATTTAAACTATGTTTTATTAACCTTAAAAAGTTGAATATTTTTTAATCTAAATCAAAGAGTATAAAAACATGCATTCAACATGTAAATTGATTTTGCATGTGTATGGAGAAATGATTAACTTTGAAGAAACTTGTGCTATTTCAAAGCTCCACTTGTTTTGTTTTTGGTTTTTGTTGCAAATTCCTACATGCACGGAACACTCATTCACTACACGAGAGTGAAATAAGCAGCTATTGGAGAGTTTTCGGTTTCACGAGAAGTAATTGACGTTCGCTCTGTAGCCAGCTTTATCTACAGCATACTGATATGATGGAAAGGTGTATGATGAATGCTGATATCAACCCCATGACTCACTGACGTTGGGGGACTCCCAGATAAAACAAGAAAGTTGACCTAGAAAGTGGTGAAAGTTTACAGAACTTGAGTTTATTTCATGAAATGTTTGGGATTGTATTTTGAAAGAGCTTGAAATGCAGAAATAATCATAGACCATGATTGCATATTTTTTGAGTGAGTGAGTGTGTTTAGTTTTTTGCCGCTTTTAACAATATTCCAGCAATATCACAGACTGTTTTCTTTCTTTTCTTTATTTTTCTGAATATTACCTTAGGATACATTTTGTGGCTTTAATAATTAAGAGGAAGTTGAGTATCTTGTTCATAGATTTGTTAAATATATTGTTTTAGATTAGATGATTAGACAAGGCTGAGTGATTCATTTGATTGGGTGGTTATTCTCAGTGATCCCCATTTGATTGGGTGGTTATTCTCAGTGATCTTATTTGATTGGGTGGTTATTCTCAGTGATCCCATTTGATTGGGTGGTTATTCTCAGTGATCTTATTTGATTGGGTGGTTATTCTCAGTGATCCCATTTGATTGGGTGGTTATTCTCAGTGATCTCATTTGATTGGGTGGTTATTCTCAGTGATCCCATTTGATTGAGTGGTTATTCTCAGTGATCCCATTTGATTGGGTGGTTATTTTCAGTGACCCATTTGATTGGGTGGTTAGGGTCAGTGACCCATTTGATTGGGTGGTTGACTGGATGTCATGACAGTATGGATTATTTGTGATCAATATCAAACACTGGATAGTATCAGTGACCCATTTGATTGGGTTTACAGACTATTGTCATTTTAGTTGCAATAATGTGAAGTGCCTTGTTAAGTCATGGTGACTTATTGCTTTTAATATATAGTTTTGGGAGTCATTTTTGCAGTGAGTCAGGTTTTATATTTCTTTGTTTAATCACACTCAGAACGTAACTGCAATGTCATCATGTCAAATGAAACTACAGCATTGTTCAATTCACAGCCAGGTTTACTGTCTCCTCCCAGTTCTCTGGAACAATCTGAAGCAAGCTCTTGTAAAAGTCAAACTATCATCGAACAATATCCTTCAATGATAAATCAATTTTATTGAACTGAATTGTGATTTGTAACCCACAAAACTTTTATAAAATATTTCATGATAATAGCTTTGAGAGTCGTTCACATTCATTGTTGTAATGTTGAGGAATCTATTTCATGTAAAACCCTGTTTTAACCCAGTATTATGTAAAGAGAATTTGTCAAATAATTTTTTTAATTGCTTTATTACGCATGTTAATTACAAGACATTATATTTTACTGTTAGTGACCCTGAAAACTTTTTGTTTTTAATTTTATAAAAAAAATTATGTAACTGTGTCAGCCGAGAAATGTAAGTCCTTAACTGATAACAGCGAGGGTTAAGAGTACGGGAATTAGTTGTGCGGGAATTAGTTGTGCATTCCTCTGTCAATGAGCAATGTCAACCATCACATCGAACATTGACCCAGATATGTGACTAATATCTTTGTAATTAAAGGTCGATAGATGAACTTTATCTCCCACCTGATGGCTGGTCCGGATTAGACATGTACTATAGCCTGACATAATGACGACACACATCATGAATAACATTGTCGACTCCTATCTGGGTTAAATACACACAACACAAGATGGCAACGACTTTTGAAACCTATATACTTCTGTCTCAGTGTCTGTAGTTCGTATCCAAGACCCTCGAATTTGTTTGTTTATTCAACCCCACACTGAGCAATATTCCAGCTATATGGAGGCAGTCTGTAAATAGAGAGTCTGTACCTGACAATTCAGTGATTGACAGCATGAGCATCGATCTACGTAATCAGGATATGATGACATGTGTCAACCAAGTCAACGAGCCTGACCACCTGACCATCTAATGCTGTTGGTCACCTTTTACATCAAACATGGGCTGCTGAAGATCAATTCTAACCCAGATCTTCAAGGGTTCCAATACCCTTGAGAGTCAATGAAACATATGAACCCAGCTCAAGTCTAGGCTGAAATGTCACTTTAAAACAGCCCTAGCGGTATTCACTGTAGACTTTCACAAGTTTCCAAGGCAATAAATATTAATTTGAATAACAATTACTACATTTGAATAATAGGAGTGATTTGTCCCTATGACAAACTGACATGTAAACTGATGAGGAGCCCCAGTGATGTGGGAGATTCAGACCCTGAAATCTAGACTTGCTTCATTTTGGGGTTTGGCTGTACTGTGCTGGGCAGAAGGGGATAAAATATGGTTAGGGGATGACGCTTAGTCTCGGTATATACATGTGTATAACTTTGATAGAAAAAAATAATTCCATATAACCTGAAAAGGAGCCCCAGTATGATGGGAGATTCAGAACCTGGGCCTAGATTTTCGAAGCTCTCTTAGCGCTAAGATAGTCGTAAGTGCCATACATTCACATTAACTTACGACTATCTTAGCGCAAAAAGAGCTTTGACAATCAAGGCCCTGAACTTGAGGAAATCTAGATTTACTTCATATAGGGCTTTAGCACAAAGGGCTAGGTGGAAGGAAGAATATTGTGATTCAGGGACTGTAAGATAGACTAGGACTGTGAGACAAACAAATATATCTAATACAGCAGTATGACAGTTCTGATTAAGAAAAAGGCTCAATGCGGAATCGACTCGTTCTAGGATACCTATGTTTCAGTATTCCAGTTTTGGCTAGGGTACATTTGGGTACAGAAACGTACTAGGGTTACCATCTGTGGTACCCAGCTAACAACAACCCTTTCAGCCAAACAAGGCAGTGGCGGGTTACTCTCTTTGTCTGACCACCAGGGCTAACCACTGTCCATATGTCTGCTGTCCTGCAGTGTACAGCTGGTATTGATTGATGGGGAATTAGCATGGTCAGGGCTTGTAGTGAGCAGGTCAGGGCAGTGTCAGATTCAGCAGATGGACGTTGTAACATGCTGACATGTTTATATATCATCAGGCTTGGACAAGGGGTTTAGTGTGCACCTGGAAATATCTGTTATGTGTGAGTGAGGTTTTACACCACTTTAAGCAATATTCCAGGAATATCACAGCAGGGGACACCAGAAATGGGCTTCACACATTGTACCCACGTGGGGAATCGAACCCGGGTCTTCGGCGTGATGAGCGAACGCTTTAACCATTAGGTTACCCCACCGCCCCCATCAATCTGTTTGATTGGCATTTTAGAAGCTGATGAGTAATAAGAAAGACTTGACAACTTCTTTATTATATAAATTGGCGGTATAAATTTTTTTTTTCCTCTGCCATCCAAAAACTATCCTACCGTTCTTATTTTCTCACCACATTGTGTGTTCAGACTTGATTATTTTCAGACAACTGTCGAATAGCTGATATGTTGCTGATTGTGGCGTCTAACAACAAACATACATACATACTTGTACATACTGTTACATGTATCACGAGTGTTGTTTCTTTGTACCCTCCCCCTCTCCTCTCACACACACACACACACACACACACACACACACACGACCCTGCCAAGAACCCTCCAGTCTCCCATCCAGGCCCCTCCCTCACACATACACCCACCCAGCTGACAGATAATCCCCAAAATAGGCTAACCCTTAGTCTCTCAATACATATAATTTTAGACAAACACAAATAATTCCATTTCAATTGAAAAGGAGGCCAGTCAGATGGGAGATTCAGAACCTGAGGACATCTAGACTTGCCTCATTTAGGGCTTTAGTGTTGCAGTAAGGGATGGACGGAAGGGAAAATTATGCGGTTCAGGGACTGTGAGACAGACTACAGCAGAGGCAAGCTAGACTTGCCAAATCTATACTTTGGTAGGGCTCTTCTTCAATTTATTCTCTAATAAGACCGGTCTGGGTGTGTTCACCGTAATTCATTATCGATTCAAGAGGCAATTAAACCTGAACACGTTACACAGTAAATGTCGTCAATCTATACAAATTAGATTTGTATTAAGCCAATTAAAACGGATCTGTTTACCAGTGATTCATGCTGGTTACATCCTGGTGTGTGTCATT